AATGTCAGCAGTTCAGCGGTTTGAATCGCTAGTTCTACGTAACTCTGGCAGGTCGGCAGAATTAGCCTGCAATGCTACATTCTAACCACTGCACCATCACAGCTCAGTTTTGCCTATCAATTTGCTAACAATCTTAGGGAAAAGAACAGCAAATGAGGTTGAAAATGTGAAAAGTAAATAAATAGATAAGAGATCACGTGATGATAGACAATCTATGGCTGAATGGATATATATTTTGGGCCTCCATTTGGAAAGACTACCTCTTAGAATCTTATAGGCAAACTTTGACTCCTGAACAACGGACTGTAATCCACAGTGCAGAAATATATTTCCAGCCTGAAGAATTTGTGAAAACTATTCTTTATATGCATCCCAATGTAGTGCATTACAATTTGCTTAAATCTATCTAATGAAACTTGATGGAATGTCTAACTTACCCTTTTGATTTGAAATCTTCCCTTCTGGACATGGAACGCAGTCGTAGCAACAGAATTGTTTTCCTTCCATTCCTTTCTTCCAGTATCCGGGGGAGCAATGGTCATTACACAGAGAAATTGGAAGTACCTGGTCATAAACACAAAAGCTTTTGCAAAGGGAGGTTTTTAAAAGAGTTTCTAATTCTTCTCCAATATGGCAGGAAGCAACATTTGACTTCTTAATGTGTTAGTGAATTTTATCAAATTTGATATACAATTTAAATAGATTCAACATCTTTTCAATTGATAATTGCAATCCAAATTTGAAATGTTTTCTCATTGTAATGTCAGTTTTGTAAATGGAGAGGTTTTTTTTTTCAGAATATGCCTTTCTCCTTTCAAAAACAAAAAATAGGTTTATAAATTATATATATTTATACAGAGATGATATTCAATATGGCTTTACCGATGAAGGCATTTTCCTGGTATCATAATGGACTATAATACAATCCATTAAATGTGTCCATACCTGATTAAAAGCTGGGTGCCACACAATCATATCTTCATCAAGGAATAATTCTTTCCCTTTTGGAGCGCTGGGATCTACTTTTCCAACTCTAACTCTCTGAAAGGACCTGTTTGGAAAAGTGATCATGTTGGTGATGTCGAATCCACCTGTTGCTTCCCCTTTCTCATTTAGGAACACTCTCTCCCCAGCTGAATTGTTGAAAGAAATGCCTTGAAGAAATGAATGGAGCTACTTGAAAAAGAATGAAAGAGAGAGGGAGCATAGGACAATATAATAGAGAAGAGACCATCATATTCAAGTTTCATTCACTCATTCTTCCCTTTCCTACAGTAATGCTCAAATAACTACATTGAGATTATTGATAGTCTATATTGCACGGAACTGTACAGATCTTCTCTATTAATAATTTTAAGGAAAAATAGGAAAAATTGTCAATTAATAAAAACAAAATGGAAACAATCTATTTCTAATATGATTCAGATTTATATTGACTATTTAAACAATGAATCAAATCAGTGATCGTATACTCTACATATCCTTCTTCATTGGTACAAAGGTATTTGAAATCCTAGGATATAATAAATTTCCTTTAACCAGCTTTTAGTATCTGAGACTCAAGAGGTTCTTGGTAGACTTATATGGAGCAAAAGTATTCTCCCCCCTCATTTGTCTATGTGCCTGTCCATCCATCCGTTCAACCATCCATCCATCCATCCATCCATCCATCCATCCATCTTCTATCTATCTATCCGTCCATCCATCCATCCATCCATCCATCCATCCATCCACCCATCTATCTATCTATCTCAATCTAATATGATCTGATCTGATCTAATCTTGAACTATACGTAAAACTAATAACCCCAAAACCAGGAAAAACAAATTACCCATAATTACCCATAAGGAAGCTTCAATTAAAAAAAAATATCTTTGGCGAAAAAACAAAACTGGCTACTGGCTTGAAATATGGAAGAAAAACTGTTGACTCACAAAGAAATATCCATAATTGTGATATGTGACTCTGTTTTGTTTTATTAATTAATGATTAAGAGTACTTTAAAGCACAAACTCAACAATTCTCTTGGTAGTTTATCCTGTCTCAAAACCAATACCCCTTCATGGAAATAATAAAGGTATAGTAGCAGAAGTCTTCATAAATTCTAAGTCCTCAGCCTAAAAGCCCTGATTTAACTAAATTGCAAAAAACAGTTAAGAAGAGTGAAATATTCACATTAACAATAAGAAAGAAAGAAAGAAAGAAAGAGAGAGAGAAAGAAAGAAAGAAAGAAAGAAAGAAAGAAAGAAAGAAAGAAAGAAAGATTGCTTTCAAAGATGTCCCCATTTAATTTTTCTTGGAACCAGGCTGAAAAAAGTCTAAAAGAGAGGAAAAGTCTACATACAAATAAAATGGTTATTTATGGAATCAAGGATGATGTAAAACCACCATTGGCTAGACTGAAATTTGCAAAAGGCATGTTTTATTTTTATCTCTACCCCACCAGGGATTATAGGGTCATTAAATGAAGATGATGATGTTTTATTTTTATCTCCTTTTATTCTGTAACACAGAATGACCTCTTAAATTAATCACAGTGTTTCTTTGACGACAGCAAAATGAAAACAATCTATTTTGAATATGATTTAGAGTCTCTATTTAAACAATGAATCAAACCTACACCGTCCATAATCTTGTTCTTCAGATATCCTTATCTATCTATCTATCTATCTATCTATCTTCTATCTATCTCAATCTAATCTTTCATCAGAATGGAGGTGGAAGGGTCCTTGGAGGTCTTCTAGTCCAACCCTCTGGGATTCGAACTGCCCACCAGCTCAACCAGGAGATCCTATACCAGTGACCATCCAGTCCCTTCTTAGAAACCTCCAGTGATGGAACGCCCACGATATCTAGTGGCAAGCTGTTCCACTGGATAATTATCCTTGCTGTTATGAAGTTTCTCCTTAATTCCAGGTTGCTTATCCAGATCTGATCTAAGCTTATCTAGATTAATATTTTCCGATACATAAATAAGACATTAATAGTACTGTTATGGAGACTGTTTTTCAAAATATTGATTTTTGTTTAAACAATAACTGAAATTAAGAGTTAAACTAAATTTGAGTAAGATGTACAATGTAAGTATATCATGTAAGCATCACCTGCCAAGGCTTCAGAGCTTGAAATTCAAACCTTTGATTTTTTCTGTGTGAGGCTCTTGATCTCACTGCCTCATGCAAAGAATCTGCCACTGCATAAACAGCATTGTAGATACTGTAGCTTTGGCCAGTCATCTGCAACTCAAACAGAGTCGCAGGCACATTCTCCAAATTCTCTTCTCCGCTGCAAGTTTCATTGATCATAGAGGGTAATTTTTCATTTGAAAGTGAACAGTCGAATACTTGCTCCCAAACATCTTGAAGAAATCCATCTTTGTGGGTTGAAGGTTTGATGACTTGAAGAAATTCTTTGAAGCCTTGAATGTCTCTTGAATGAACAGTAAAGGAAAGAGCCCCATGGTACAACTGGAGATCCCAACTCCTTTGAAGTCCTGTCAGTGCGAAATCAATTGGGAACATCAGGATCCAAACCTTCCTAAATGACACACTCTCTTTGTTTTCATAATCACATAAAAACACAATATTTCTGAGCCACAGAATCGTGAATGGTTCGCCATAGACAAGGAAAACATTGGCTTTCTGATCTATCAGTCTATTAAAAATAGTTGAGATTAGATCAAGATATTCTGATAGGTTCTGAAGTAGGGCTTGCTGTGGAATCTTTTGTGTGAAGGCTAAACAGATCCCATTTTGGGAAAGCAACGGATTCAGTTTCTGCAAGAAATGTTCTCCCTTCTTCTTATCAAAAGTGAAGATTCCAATCCACGTCCATCCAAAATAGTGGAGAAGCTGTATAATTCCATTGTATTGATGTTCCTCTTTTGGGACCATGCAATAAAGTGAAGATAACTTAGTAGCCTGGAGCTCTTCTTGGGCAAAGGAACCATAGGTCAGCTGAACAAAAAACAAAGAGAGAGAGTCATTATTTAGGACAAGTATTATTATTGGTTAATCTTTAGTGAGATTCACAGCCTTTGAGGCTGGTTAATAGCTCAGCAGTTCGAGTCCTAACCAAGGACCTAGGAACTGTTAAGGTATAATGTTAAGACAAGTATTATTATTATTATTATTATTATTATTATTATTATTATTATTATTATTTATTTTGTTTGTTAAGCACCTATTAGATAACAGATATAAGTATAAACATTATTATGAATAGATGAAATGGATACAAATACAAGGGGACATTAGGACAGGGACAGTAGGCATGTTGGTGAGCTTATGCATGCCCCTTACAGACCTCTTAGGAATGGGGTGAGGTCAACAGTAGACAGTCTAAGGTTAAAATTTTGGGGGTTTGGGATGTAACCATAGAGTCAGGTAGTGCATTCCAGACATTGACTACTCTGTTGCTGAAGTCCTATTTCCTGCAATAGAGTTTGGAGCATTTTACCTTAAGTTTGTATCTATTGTGTGCTCATGTATTGTTGTGGTTGAAGCTGAAGTAATCATTGACATGTAAGATGTTGTAGCAGATAATTTTGTGTACTACCGTTAGGTCAGACTGAAAGCGGCGTAGTTCTAAGTTGTCTAAGCCCAAAATTTCAAGCCTGGTGGCATAAGGTATTCTGTTGTGAGCAGAGGAGTGGAGGACTCTTCTCGTGAAATATCTCTGGACTCGTTCGATTGTATTAATGTCTAATATGCAGTGCGGGTTCCGGCAGATGAGCTGTATTCAAGAATTGGTCTAGCAAAGGTTTTGTATGCCCTAGTTTGCAGTACAATATTACCAGAGAAGAAGCTTCACAAGATTAGGTTAACTACTCTTAATGCCTTTTTGGCAATGTTGTTACAGTGAGCTCTGGCACTTAGATCATTAGAGATGAGTACTCCAAGGCCCTTGACAATGAAGGGGAAAATCTGGAAACGGAATGATCTCTAATGTTCATTACAAAAGAAGACCAATTTATCTCCTACTGCTCTCCCCAAATTACCTGCGCAATCTTGAAGAGATTTATACTTTCTGCCATATAGGAAGAAGCAGAAGCATCTAATCCCCCAATAATGGCCATGAGATTCTTCTGGTTATCGCATTTGTAGTTAGGAAAAAAACCCTTAGATTTGAAAAGCAGGTCCAGAGTGGTTCGGTAGGTCATCCTTGGATTGTAGTAACTGTCATAGATGTGGAACCCAAGAGTGACATTAAGTAAGATCTGGGAGTCTTCATTGATCTCCTTCACAGCAAAGGCCAAGGCGAGGGCATGCTGGTAGAATTTGGTGACTACACTGCAGATAAGTTTTAAAAAATCCTATTGATTAATACATTTAAACATTGTTATAATTTGGCATCATTTCCAAATGAATAATATGCGTTTTTGTATTTGATGGAAGTAGGACAATGAGAATTGCAAATCATAAAATACTGGAGTAATCTATAGAGTGTTTCCATGTATTTCCATGCCTTACAATAAATAAGCATTACAGCCAAGAGAATAATAAGCTATTTTCCAAGCAACTACTTTTATTTTCTTTCAGCTTCGCATAAAACAGAATATGAACAGATTCAACAAATATCATTCATTTACTGCTTGCATGTTTTGTGAGGAGTCATAATGCAGATCTTTTTTTTCTTTTTTAAAAAAATTACATTCCATTCACTGAATATTCTTTAAAAAAACTTATTTTGGCAAACATTTAATATATGAGTGAAAAAGACTGTTAGACTTTAAAGTATTTACACAAGAAAGACATTAACTTAAAGATAATATTTCTTCTCCCACAACCAGATACACTCAAAAGACAAAGAAATTACTTTAAAATAGATACAACATCTGCATTATGCTCATACAGCTTTTAATCATATAAGAAATTTTTGGAGAGCTGGCTAAAATTGGGGAAACACTGAAGGAAAAAAAATATTACACTGGTAAGAGATAAGGTTTAAGAGAAGGATGGTCCTTAAATTCAATTTCATCAAAGTTGTAAAATATTTGAGACACCATCCCACCAACGATGAGGTCACCAGGCTGGAACCACTCATGTGGAACAGGGAAAGCTTCCCTTGCAGGACATCTTAGAGTAGCTACTCTGTGCACCAAGAACATCAGAAGAAACAACATCTCCACTCTATTATTATGGAGAAAATGTCCGAGTCTATCAGTCAAAGAGAAGTTCTGGCAGATAAAACAGGAGGAAGAGAATTTGTGGAAATAAACCTACGAAGCAATCCCTTTGTGCCCTCATGTGGCTCTAAAAGTAATTATATGGGTTGTTTCTCCATTCCTATTCCCTTCAGCTGAGAACCTTTGATGGTTTTTGCCTCCTTGGATAATAGATTGATTTCAGTTATTTGTAAGTTATATAATTACGTTTGAAAGATTTGCAACCTTGCAATTTTTATTTATACACCTGATCAGCATCTTTCTCTCTTTTGGACCATCTAACAAGTGACTGATGGTTAACCTAATTTGAAAATATTTGGAGAAGTAAAATTGGGAAGATATTTTCACTTTTCTATACTTCTTCAAAATTGTGTGTTTGTGTGTGTGTGTGTGTACTTACACACAGACTTACATACATACATACATATACATACATACATACATACATACATACATACAAACATATGTACACACACACACACAAATATATATATATATATATATATATATATATATATATATATATATATATATATGTATATTCTTTCTAGCCAGGTTTTACCTACGTAAGCTAAGTTGTTCCACAGCCCTAGTTCTGTGAATGAGATTTCACAGAACTAGGGCTGTGGAACAACTTAGCTTACGTAGGTAAAACCTGGCTAGAAAGAATATGCATATATATATATGTTCACAATTACACGGGAAGAAACCCGAAATATTAACTGTACACACACATATACCCGGGAGAGAGCATTCTGCTCTCTTTTGCCTTTCAGCTCCAACCCAGGAGCCCTCAAGCAGTTGCATCCACAACAAACCATTTTTATACCAAATATATTTTACTGATAAAGAAATATCAGTACTGATATGTATATATATATATCAGCCAAGAAATTAAAAGACACTTACTCCTGGGGAGGAAAGCTATGGTGAATCTAGACAGCGTATTAAAAAGCAGAGACATCACCCTGCCAACAAAAGTGCTTTTAGTCAAGGCTATGGTTTTCCCAGCTGCAATATATGGCTGTGAAAGTTGGACCATAAGAAAGGCTGACCATTAAAGAATGGTCTGGTGCTGGAGAAGACTCCTGCAAGTCTCTTGGACTGCAAGGCGACCCAACCGGTCAGTCCTAGAGGAGATCAACCCTGACTGCTCTTTAGAAGGCCAGATTCTGAAGATGAAACTCAAATACTTTGGCCATCTAATGAGAAGGAAGGGCTCACTGGAGAAGAGCCCAATGCTGGGAAAGATGGAGGGCAAAAGAAGAAGGGGACGGCAGAGAATGAGGTGGCTGGATGGAGTCACTGAAGCAGTTGGCGTGAGTTTCAATGGACTCCAGAGGATGGTAGAGGACAGGAAGGCCTGGAGGAACGTTGTCCATGGGGTTGTGATGTGTCAGACACGACTTTGCGACTAACAACAATATATATATGTGTGTGTGTGTACTTACAGACATACTTACACACATACATACACACCTACACACACACACACACATATGAAGAACTATAGAAAAATGAAATATACACATACACACACACACACACACATAGTCCTCAACTCATGCCCACAATTGAGCCCTGAAATTCTATTATGTTGCTTGCCCAGAAGGCAAGATGGCAATTCAGAAGAGTAGATGATGCTGTCCTGATATTGATCCACACCTAATGACCATCATTTTTAAATATATTTTTATTCAAATAAAACTTTACAAGAGATTAACAAACTCAGAAACTAAAAGAGAAAAGAGAAAGAAATATGAAAAATAAAAATAAAAGAGAAATTACACTAATTACACAAGGTAAAAGGTAAAGTAAAGGTAAAAGGCTCTGACGATCACAGCTGTGGCGCTGTTGTTACTTCCTTTTAAAAGCAGGAAGTAATGACACACAAGCGGGTGGGCAGAGCTTCACACCGCCATCGCTACCACTTCTCTGAGCCACCTACCACAATTGCTACCGGATCAACCGATCCAGTCCAAACCGGGAGCATTTCACCCCTAGTTAGCACATGTAAAATTAATTATGTATTCCCTTTATTATATTTTTCCAGTAAGATGCCCAACAAGAATATTCCCTTTGCTTAATGACTTCATCAGAATTACATGACTGATCAACCTGCAGATTGTTTGTCTGTAGGCATAGGATTCTTATCCTAACTCTGGAAATAGTAAAGACCTCTATCCATATTTTGCTTTAATCAGAATAGAACTGGAAGGGACATTAGAGGTCTTCTAGTCCAACTTCCTGATCAAGCAGGAATAACCCTATACCAGTGATGGCTAACCTTTTTGCCGTCGCGTGCCAAAAGTGGGGGGAGTGCGGGGAGGTCACCCACGTGTGTGCCCACACCCATAATTAAACGGGGGGTTTTAATTGTTGGGCCAAATTGTTTAATTTATTTTAGACTGCTTTTAAAGACCTCCCATCGTCCCGTGCGCTCCCACAGAGAGGGCCTCCTCAGGGTGCCATCAGCCATGTAGGCTGGTGACCCCCAGGGGGAGGGCCTTCTCTGTGGGGGCACCTACCCTCTGGAATCAGTTGCCCCCAGAGATAAGGAGAATCCATGACCTTAGTGCCTTCCTCCGTGCCCTTAAAACCCACTTTTTCCAGCAAGCCGGGCTGGCTTAAGAAGAAATTTAAAATGTTTTAATGGGTTTGTATTTTTAATTTTGGGCCAAATTTATATATATATTAATTGTTTTTTAATATTTGTATTTTATGTTTTCTTAATTCTGGCTGTACACCGCCCTGAGTCCTCAGGGAGAAGGGCGGTATATAAATTTAAAATAAATAAATAAATAAATAAATAAATAAATAAATAAATAAATAAATAAAATCTTTGTATTCTATGTTTTTTACCTTTGGCTGTTCACTGCCCTGAGTCCTTCGGGAGAAGGGCGGTATATAAATTTAAATATAAATAAATAAAATATAAATAAATAAATAATCCAATTCACCCTGCCCCTGCTCATGTGCACGCATTCCCCACCCCCATTTTTAGCATGTGATAGCCTGGTGGGCCCGGTAGGCCTGTTTTTCACCCTCCCCAGGCTCCAGAGGCTTTCTAGGAACCTGGGGAGGGCAAAAATGGCCTTCCCCACCCCCCCTGGAGGCCTTCTGGAGGCCAGAAACAGCCCATTTCCCAACTTCAGGTGGGACCGAAAGGCCCAAAAATCAGCTGGCTGGCACACAGATACGTGCTGGAGCTGAGCTACGGCAACACTCGCGTGCCCACTGATATGGCTCCATGTGCCACCTGTGGCACCCGTGCCATAGGTTTGCCATCACGGCCCTATACCATTTCAGACAAGTGGCTGTCCAGTCTCTTCTTAAGAACTTCCAGTGATGAAGCACCCACAACTTCTGATCGCAAGCTGATCCACTGGTTAATTGTCCTCGCTGTTAGAAAGTTTCTCCTTAGTTCCAGATTGCTTCTCTCCTTTATTGGTTTCCATTCATTGTTACTTGCCCTGTCTTCAAATGTTTTGGAGAAAGGCTGCCTCTTCTTTGTGGCAGCCCCTCAAATATTGCAAGACTGCTATCATGTCATCCCTAATTCTTCTTTTCGCCAGATTAGCCAAGTCCAAATCTTGCAACTGTTCTTCATACGTTTTAGTCTCCAGGCCTTTAATCATCTTAGTTGCTCTTCTCTGCACTTTTTCCAAAGTCTCAACATTATTTTTGTAATGTAGTGACCAAAACTGGATGGAGTATTCCACGTGTGGCCTTACTTTGTTGTTAGTTGCAAAGTCGTGTCCGACCCATCGCGACCCCATGGACAACTTTCCTCCAGGCCTTCCTGTCCTCTACCATCCTCTGGAGTCCATTTAATCTCACAACGACTGCTTCATAGATACAGTAGATACACCCAGGCTTTTAGTCATGGGTGATTTCAACTTGCCATCCATCGGTGAAACGTCTGAGGTGGCTCGGGAGTTCATGGCTTCCATGACGGCCATGGACCTGACCGAGTTAGTTCATGGCCCTACTCA